TCTCCACGCTGGCTGTTGTCGCCCTGTTGATGACATCAGCGACGCGGTTTAATTGGGCGCGCTTTAGTCGAGTGCGGTTTTGTCGTGCCACGAATATTCTCAGCTGAGTTGCACGGCAGAACAGATTGCCGCGGCTCAGCTATTTTCCTCCCCACCAATAACGCGAAAGGTAAGTTTTCTTAAAACTATGCATGTGCGCGAAGCTCGCGATCACCAAACCGGTTGTTAATCTGGTAGGATCCCACCACTGAACCCAACCATTGATTGGATTAGTTGTTTCTAAATCGTTCTGTTGCTAAGCAGCAGGAGTGTCAAACTCAAGATCCCGGGGGATGGATCCGTCCCGCAGGGTGCTTAGATCTGGCCTGCGAGGCTGCCCTAGAAACAGCAAAGGACCCCCCCTCGAGCTCCATTTACATTGGCAGATAGTGGCAGGAGGGCGTCGCAGCTGAAAACAGAGCTCGGGAGCCTGTTTTCACTGGCAGAGCACTCCGGCCACCGCAGATGTCCCTGGCACAAGTGACATCAAGCTGGCCATGCCTACCCTGGCCACGCCCACTCCGGCCCACCCCGAGGTCAAACACAATCCTGATGCGGCCCTCAATGAAATCGACAGCCCTGCTAAGCAGCATAGTTGTCAAATGGATTTTTGCCCCATTCCATGACCTATCCTGCCACTGTGAATTGCTGCAGTGAAGTTACTGAGACAGTCGTTAAGTGAATCAGACTTCCCCATTGACCCAGCTTGTCAGAAGGTCACGAACAATAACCCCATGACCCGAGGATATTGCAACTGTTGTAAGTACATGCCAGTTGCCAAGGATATGACAAATTTGGACCACAGGGATACTGCAATGGGTGTAAGCGTGAAAAACAGTTGTAAATCGCTTTTTTTCCCCAGTGCCGCTGTAAACTTCAAACGGTCACTAAACAAATGGTTGTAATTCGAGGACTGCCTATAAGGCCATGTACCTGAAAGTCTTCTTAACAAATGTGTACACTGGAGTCAAGTAAGTTTTACATGTCTGTGACTCTTTCTAGAAACAAAGCATCACTATCATGGACCACCATTCTGCTGCCGAATCCTTCATGAAGTACATGCAGAATGAATACCGGATTCGTGGGGGGTGTCCGGCTGATTGGGTTTGGCTGGTTCCCCCCATCTCGGGTAGCATTACCCCCCTCTTCCATCAGGAGATGTTGAATTACATTATTTCACCCTTTTATTATTATCAGGTGAGCTCAGTTCAATTCAGTTGGTTGCCCGGTTCACATTAGCATCTTTCAATTCAAAATCGGCAATGTTTTTTTTCCCCCATGAAACATTGGAAAACTGAGTTTTATAATTATTTTATTTTTAACTAGTGCTGATAACCCGGCGTTGCCTGAGTATTTATTTATAAGGGGGAAATGTCCGGACCAAACGTAATTTCTAATGTTGGATCTTCCCGGTTACTAGAGGGAGGCCCTTGTGGAGTACTGTGAAGCCTTTACCATGGCAACTCCACTGNTGGCAGCTCCAGTTAAGCAAGGAGATTGCTAAGTGAAACCACAACTGCACTTAGGGTCTTCTTCAATTTTCCTTGACTTTACAAGCTGCAAAGTTTGTACAAAGATTGGTCTTAAAATTTCTTTTTCATCAGCTTCCTCAACACAGCAGTCATTTAACAAAAATGGCTCAATGGCTAAGACGCTGAGCTTGTCGATCAGAAAGGTCAGCAGTTCTGCGGTTCGAATCCCTAGCGCTGCATAAGGGAGTAAGCTCCCATTACTTGTTCCAGCTTCTGCCAACCTAGCAGTTTGAAAGCACATAAAATGCATGTTGAAAAAATAGGAACCACCTTTGGTGGGAAGGTAACAGCATTCCGTGCGCCTTTGGTGTTTAGTCATGCTGTTCACATGACCACGGAGTCATATTTGGACAGCGCTGGCTCTTCGACTTTGAAACGGAGATGAGCACCGCCGCCCTAGAGTTGAGAACGACTAGCAGACATGTGCGGGGGAATCTTTACCTTTATCTTACTTGTATATGTTCACCAATTGCCGTTTCACTTCCTGCTTCGTCTTGTAGAAAGCCTGTGTAGAGTCTGCGTTGACACCCCAATGCTGATTAGCTAGGCTATTAACTGGCTCTTTTCTTGGCTGTTTCCCTCTCATTTCCAACAGTGTCCCCTAGTTTTCCATTAAATTGTTCTAAGGCACAATGGGGCTAATCTTCTAATCCAGCTTCGCTTTCCAAAGAAGCAAATCATGTCACTTCCATGCATAATGGATGTTAATTACATTGAAAACTCTTTCCTTCTCCATGCACATATTAGTCTTGGCCTCCCCAGAAGGGAGAAAGCTTTATTGTTTTGTGTAATCTTGGCAGTTGCCATGCTTGTGAATTGAAACCATCTTTTTAAACAAGCCACTTGACTGAAATTAATTTCATTTGCCTTCAACCCCCCTAATTGGAAGGTTCAAGATGACTAACCCAAAGGCTCTCGATGATTACATTATAGAGTCCTCGATAACTTTAATCTATTCTTTTTCTGTATATATTTGAGAAGACTGCCTGTGAAATGTTTGATATCCGTGGAAAGCACAAGATCCTGTTGCCAAAAGAATATACATGTAAGGAAACCTGGAACCCCAAGGATTTTAGGATTGTATATGATTCTCGGCCATTGGAGTTAGAGAAAGGTATGTTCTCCTCTGATCCTTAATTGTCTTTATTTTTAATTGCATGATACTATCACCACTTTGATCCTTTTTAATCAGTATTTTTCAACATTGGTGATTTTAAGATGTATGGANCCTCTTCTGTAGGTGTGGCCTGCTTTCCAGGTCCACTGGTGGAACCTCTTCTAACCTGTTCGGTAGATTTGACAAACCGGTTCTACTGAATAGGTACGAACTGGTAGGAACCCACTTCTGTTGTGAACATTTCAATAGGTTGTTAAGAGAGGTACTTCAACAGGGACAATCTTAGAAGGAAAAATGCCTGTTTTAACATGAGGTCTCCTTCAACGCACATACTTTGTTCATTTATTATTATTATTATTATTTTCAAAACCCAGCATTAAGGCAGCTTTTCTCTTGAAACAGGTATGCTGTCTTCGGCTTGGGTTCAAGCATGTATCCAGAATTCTGTGCCTTTGCCCGTCTTGTGCACCAAAAACTTGCCCAGTTGGGGGCATTTCCAGTCAGCCCAATGGGTGAAGGAGATGAACTCAACGGGCAAGAAGAAGCTTTTCGGAACTGGGCCATTCTTACATTTCAGGTAACTATAATAACCTTTACGGCCAGGGAGTTTCCGAGTTTCCAATGTCTCTGCAGCGGATACCAGAATCCAGTGATTTAGCTCAGTGTCTTTCAAACTTGGCAACTTTTAACATGTGTGGACTTCAACTTCAAAAAAAGATGTTGAGAAAGAAAGAATGCAAAGAAGAACAGCAAAGATGATTAGGGGACTGGATGGCTAAAACATATAAAGAACAGTTGCAGGAACTAGATGTCTGGTTTAATAGAAAGAAGGACTAAGGGAGATATGATAGCAGTGTTCCAATATCTCAGGGGCTGCAACAAAGAAGAGGGAGTCAAACTATTCTCCAAGGCACCCGAGTGTAGAACAAGAAGCAATGGGTGGAAACTAATCAAGGAAGGAAGCAACTTAGAACTAAGGAGAAATTTCATGACAGTTAAAACAATTAACCAGTGGAACAACTTGCCTCCAGAAGTTGTGAATGCTCCAACACTGGACGTTTTTAAGAAGATGTTGGTTAACCATTTGTCTGAAGTGGTGTAGGGTTTCCTGCCTAAGCAGGGGGTCAGACTGGAAGACCTCCAAGGTCCCTCGCAACTCTGTTATTCNGTAAAAAATGCAAGTAGAAAAATAGGAACCACCTTTGGTGGGAAGGTAACAGCGTTCCATGCGCCGTCTTCGCCATTTAGTCATGCCGGCCACATGACCATGGAGACATCTTCGGACAGCACTGGCTCTTCTGCTTTGAAACGGAGATGAGCACCGCCTTCTAGAGTCGGGAACGACTAGAACATATACGCACGGGGAACCTTTTCCTTTACCCACACGTTTTTCGGGTTCTGAAGAAGGGTGGACAATGAATATTTTTTTGTTTTGCCTCACAATGTTTTATCCACTTCCATTGACCTTCTCCAGTTCCTGATAACATTTCTTTCTCCTTTTAGGTTACTTGTATGGTGGATTACAACCTAAGAGACCTTGAGAAGGAAACTCTACTTCTGGTGGTCACCAGCACTTTTGGAAATGGCGATGCACCAAGCAATGGCAAAGTAATACTTTTAATGTCTGCTATATATGATTTTCCACAATAAATCAGACTATCCATGCAATATAACGGTATTTCTTTTTTTTATTATAGACTCTGCAGAATGCCCTCTTATCAATGAAACAACTGAGTAACAAATTCCGGTAATTACTTCCAGAATTTTGCTTATCCCAGTTAACCAATTCTTTATTGAATCTTTTAAGTGCTCTTATTTTAAAATGAACTGCTACTCTTTTATTTCATCTACTATAATATAATCTAAACTAGTTTGCCCCAATCTGGAATTCTCTGTATAAATTGATTATAACTTCAATGGTTTCAGTGGGGATCAATGGCTCATAATTTGTTGGGAATAGGACTACGTTTTAAGATTATCTGCTGGGAGATCAGTGGATTTCCTTGTACAGTTGGTTGTTCTCTATGAGAAGAGATTGCTCAATTAAATGGACCAGGGGTCCAATCCAGCAGTACGCTGATTATGTTCTTTTTTAAAATTAATTTTCTATTTATTACATTTCTTAGTGNAGCTGATGAGAGCTAAATAGCTAAATAGCTTGAAATAGATCTATACTAGTCTCCCTTTATTTATTTATCAGCATAAATATAACATATATATATATGTTTGGCAATGATAAGAGGTATGGTGGCACAGTGGTTAGACTGCAATATTGCAGGCTACTTCTGCTGACTGCCAACTGCCTACAGTTCAGCAGTTCGATCCTGACCGGCTCAAGATTAACTCAGCCTTCCATCCTTCCGAGATGGATAAAATGAGGACCCAGATTGTAGGGGGCAATATGCTGGCTCTGTAAACCACTTAGAGAAGGCCATAAAGCACTGTGAAGCGGTATATAAGTCTAAGTGCTATTGCTATTTGTCACACAGCAGTATTCAAGTGTATCCCTATGTGAAGCTTCCTTGATTCCTAAAAGATTTCAGGTGGACCAGGATCCAGAGGAAGAAATACAATTCACCAATGCTCCAAGTTCAATTTAGCCAGTGTAGAAATCCAATTGTTTTCCACAACAAAGGGAATAAGGGATAGAAGCAGAATGAGGAAAGAGCCAGTGAAAGAAACATTCGGGGGAGAAGTCATAGGTCTGTGGAATCAGCGATAGCTTTATAAGCAAAATTGGGTAACTGACTTAAATCATGGTAATCTGACATTGAAACGTCCAACTTCTCCTATCCTTCAAGGTGGATGCCTGGAAAACACATACCTGGAAAGACGAGAAACACAAGCCAAAGAAAAGAAAGATCAGATTCTGCATATGGGCCAAGTACGTTTCCAGGATAAGTTACGATACCCGTCTGAAAATCGACTCTTGGCTCTGGGTCAAAGAAAACGTTTTTCTTTGCAGGGCTGTGTTGTTTGCGTCCTCGTTGATGCGAAGAGCCATGGCTGTCAGGATCAAAGCAACGGTGCTCTATGCAACAGAAACAGGGAAATCAGAGACTCTCGCTCGAAAGCTGGGGGATATGTTCAATTGTGCCTTCAGTACCAAGGTAAGATGCAGTGGTGGGATCCTGCAGGTCATCCTGCATGCTCTGCACATGTGCTCAGTTTAACAAAACTGAGAAGAAAGGGGGGAAGGAGGGAAGGAGGGAGGGAGGGATGCAAGGAGGGAAGGAAGGAGGAAAGGAAGGAGAGAAGGAGAGAAGAAAGGAGGGAAGGAAGGAGGGAAGGAAGGAGAGAAGGAGAGAAGAAAGGAGGGAAGGAAGGAGGGAAGGAAGAAGAGAAGGAGAGAAGAAAGGAGGGAAGGAAGGAGGGAATGCAGGAG